GTAAAGAAAGAACTTGATCTTAGCAATTCTAAAATCTTGAATGTAACAAGCAGACACCCAAATGGCAACGGCGCCAAATTGATACTAGGTTTTTACTATCAATTACCCTAATATACTTTCATGTCATTGCAGTATAAGAGGTTATCAATCCAATCAGGTGCTCTTACTATCAATCAAGATATGCTCAGAGATAACTAAGTCAAGCCAAGCAGAATATTGTTTTGTTATCTAGCAATCCTAAGCGATCATGCATAAACGATAGAACTACAGAACAAGAGTGATCATGCAAAAAGAGAAACAACTATCAATACTAAACAGCAATAAGCAAGTAAGCAACAGGTAAAGAGATAAGCAATCAAATGAGATAAAAGGTCCTGAGGATAGGGTAATCGATTATAGCAGTCTCCTTAGTCTACTTAAGTGGTTAACAATCCAAACAGGCTATCCCTAGACAATAGATTCAACTACAGATCAATCCACTCTCGTGACAGAGATCCTCAAGCTAAGTCACTTTCAAACTCAACTCTCATTGATGAAATATAACCTAGCAGGCATTAAGATTCAATCTAATATAGTCAATGAACATTCTAATCATCCAATATCTTGGGCTAGAGTATGTAAATCTCTGGAGTAGTTTGTTCAGACATTTCATCAAACACCTTGTGGGTGTGGAAATGTCTGAGATCAACTTCCAATTGATCAGAGAGGAAATAGCATTAGGAACTACTAAACCAGAAGGGAATCAAGAAATTCTACACTTAACCACCTAAATAAACTAAGGATTCCACACCTAATCTATCCCATCCTCAAGAACCCTAATCCACTACTCAGACATGCTCAAGAACACAAACCCAGAAAATTGCACAAACCCAGAAATCGCTAAAAACTTCATATGTTATAGATCAAAGCAAGATAAACAACTTTGCAGAAGGAAATTATTGCAAAAACTCAAAGGATCAAAAGTAATTTGGATTACAAAAGTTTGCAGAAAATATTGCTCAGAGGCTAAAAAGCGAGATCCTTTGGGCAAAGGCCTAAGAGGTCTATTTATAGTAAAGAAGAAAACCCTAGTACACAAAACGACAAAATAGAAAGTCGGTTTAAGGTCTACTCGAGCTGGTACTCGAGTGGCTTGGTCGAGTAGTCCATTTTTCAAAGGTTGCATCTTGCTCGGGTAAGTCTCTCAGGTGAACTCGAGTAGGTGTCTCTCAGGTGAACTCGAGTAGGTATCTCAGGTGAACTCGAGTAGGTATCTCAGGTGAACTCGAGTAGGTGTCTCTCAGGTGAACTCGAGTAGGTATCTCAGGTGAACTCGAGTAGGTGTCCAGGAGCTCTGGTCGAGTACACTGCTCTGGCACTGCTCTGCATAACTCCTTAGTACCTGAATGTACCTGATACAACTCCAAAATGCAAGAATGCATGCTATGCTAATGTAGAATACTCTAAGTATGCAAAGTGATGCAAAATGACTACAAATGACAGTAAAGAAGAGTGAATACTAAGCTAAATGCATAGCAAATGTATGCTAAAAAGAGGTAAAATACAGAGATATCATAAACCGAAAACACTACTTGAGCTTACGGGATCAGGTTGAGGTTCCAGTTCTAATACCCAATCATACACACGAGATCTAGTCATATTTGACTCCAAAAACACTAATCAAGCTTCTTATACCCTCTCAAAGCTTTGTGGGTGTGGCCGAAGTCCTATGAGTTTTCGGTTTTGGAGCTTCTAAACGGAAAAAACACTACTTTAGCTTACGGGATCCGGTTGAGGTTCTAGTTCTTATACCCAATCATACACACGAGATCTAGTCATATTTGACTCCAAAAACACTAACCAAGCTTCTTATACCCTCTCAAAGCTTTGTGGGTGTGGCCGAAGTCCTATGAGTTTTCGGTTTTGGAGCTTCTAAACGGAAAAACACTACTTTAGCTTACGGGATCCGGTTGCGGTTCTAGTTCTTATACCCAATCATACACACGAGATCTAGTCATATTTGACTCCAAAAACACTAACCAAGCTTCTTATACCCTCTCAAAGCTTTGTGGGTGTGGCCGAAGTCCTATGAGTTTTCGGTTTTGGAGCTTCTAAACGGAAAAACACTACTTGAGCTTACGGGATCCGGTTTAGGTTCTAGTTCTTATACCCAATCATACACACGAGATCTAGTCATATTTGACTCCAAAAACACTAAACAAGCTTCTTATTTCCTATCAAAGCTTTGTGGGTGTGGCCGAAGTCCTATGAGTTTTCGGTTTTAGATCTTTTAAACCGAAAACACTACTTGAGCTTACGGGATCCGGTTGAGGTTCCAGTTCTAATACCCAATCATACACACGAGATCTAGTCATATTTGACTCCAAAAACACTAACCAAGCTTCTTATCCCTCTCAAAGCTTTGTGGGTGTGGCCGAAGTCCTATGAGTTTTCGGTTTTGGAGCTTCTAAACGGAAAAACACTACTTTAGCTTACGGGATCCGGTTGAGGTTCTAGTTCTTATATCCAATCATACACACGAGATCTAGTCATATTTGACTCCAAAAACACTAAACAAGCTTCTTATTGCCTATCAAAGCTTTGTGGGTGTGGCCGAAATCCTATGAGTTTTCGGTTTTTGAGCTTTTATACCGAAAACACTACTTTAGCTTACGGGATCCGGTTGCGGTTCTAGTTCTTATACCCAATCATACACACGAGATCTAGTCATATTTGACTCCAAAAACACTAACCGAGCTTCTTATACCCTCTCAAAGCTTTGTGGGTGTTGCCGAAGTCCTATGAGTTTTCGATTTTGGAGCTTCTAAACGGAAAAATACTACTTTAGCTTACGGGATCCGGTTGCGGTTCTAGTTCTTATACCCAATCATACACACGAGATCTAGTCATATTTGACTCCAAAAACACTAACCAAGCTTCTTATACCCTCTCAAAGCTTTGTGGGTGTGGCCGAAGTCGTATGAGTTTTCGGTTTTGGAGCTTCTAAACGGAAAAACACTACTTGAGCTTACGGGATCCGGTTGAGGTTCCAGTTCTAATACCCAATCATACACACGAGATCTAGTCATATTTGACTCCAAAAACACTAATCAAGCTTCCTATACCCTCTCAAAGCTTTATGGGTGTGGCCGAAGTCCTATGAGTTTTCGGTTTTGGAGCTTCTAAACGGAAAAACATTACTTTAGCTTACGGGATCCGGTTGAGGTTCTAGTTCTTATACCCAATCATACACCCGAGATCTAGTCATATTTGACTCCACAAACACTAACCAAGCTTCTTATACCCTCTCAAAGCTTTGTGGGTGTGGCCGAAGTCCTATGAGTTTTTGGTTTTGGAGCTTCTAAACGGAAAAACACTACTTTAGCTTACGGGATCCGGTTGAGGTTCTAGTTCTTGTATCCAATCATACACACAAGATCTAGTCATATTTGCCTCCAAAAACACTAAACAAGCTTCTTATTGCCTATCAAAGCTTTGTGGGTGTGGCCGAAGTCCTATGAGTTTCCGGTTTTAGAGCTTTTAAACCGAAAACACTACTTGAGCTTACGGGATCCGGTTGAGGTTCCAGTTCTAATACCCAATCATACACACGAGATCTAGTCATATTTGACTCCAAAAACACTAACCAAGCGTCTTATCCCTCTCAAAGCTTTGTGGGTGTGGCCGAAGTCCTATGAGTTTTCGGTTTTGGAGCTTCTAAACGGAAAAACACTACTTTAGGTTACGGGATCCGGTTGAGGTTCTAGTTCTTATATCCAATCATACACACGAGATCTAGTCATATTTGACTCCAAAAACACTAAACAAGCTTCTTATAGCCTATCAAAGCTTTGTGGGTGTGGCCGAAGTCCTATGAGTTTTCGGTTTTGGAGCTTCTAAACGGAAAAACACTACTTGAGCTTACGGGCACTACAGGAAATGTGGGTATTAATAGCATCAAAAGATAGCGTTTTTGATGTTTATGCTATCTTTGAGTGAACCGTATATTAAAGATAGCGTTTGGTTATTTGTAAACGCTATCAATGGTTTAAGCGGGATCAAAAATTCACGCGGCCAAAATTTTTTAGTTAACCCGCTATTGAATAAGTTAAGAGGGAACAAAAAAAAAAAAGAAATTTGACCTAAGACATAAAAAAGAACAAAAAAGTTATTCACTTTCCCTTTTCTCTAAGGGAAAACTCGACAATTTCCCTTTCTCTCTAAGCTCAAAATCGATTTCGCTCTATCTCTCTTGATTCCCCTCTCTCTTTCACTCGATTTCTCAGTCTCAATTGAATCCCTCGATTTTGCACTCTTTCTCACTCGATTTTCGATTTCTCAGTCTTGATTTCTCTCTACCTCAATCGCTTACAATCGCCACTCGATTTCTCACTCCCTCTCTCGATTTGTTGGTCTCTCCCTCGATTTGTCACTCTATCTCACGAGATACCTCAGCAACCCGAAACCCTAATCTAAGGAGTTCATAAGTTTAGATGGTAGGGTAATTATCTTTCGATTAGATCTTATAATTTCGCTTTCAATCTCGGTATTTTTCTTCGATCTCTTTGTCGATTTTGTTGTATTCTTAAGCGTTTTCATACCAACCTGTGTAAATCGTATTCGTATTGGTTTATGCTTTCGTTTATTTTCCATTAGAAATTTAAGTTTTAGCTAGCAAATGAACTTGTGTATTCGTTTGTTTTAAGATTATTGTTTCGATACTAATCCAAGATTTTTTTCAATTTACAGGTCTGTGAAACATTCAGTTAAAGGTAATCCAATTGCTGTTCTTTTGGTACTCTGTTGTTTCTGTACTTTTGTTCTAGTTATTTGAGTGTCTATATCCTTTGAATTGTGGTGGAGCTGTGGTCGTATTGGTGATATGGAGAAGAAATGGGTTTGGCTTCCAAGGTATGAGTCTGGTTGATAGATGAACTTTGTATATTGCGTGTGATTCTGAATCCGAGACTTGAAGAATTGCAAAGCGAGGTTCAAGACTTGAAGAATCTAGTCCGTGACTTAGCTAAAAAGAAAAGTACTGGTAATATGGCTTCTGAATCCGAGGTTAGTAATGTTAGCAAAGGAGTTAGGTGTCAGATCTTGGACTGGTTTTCCCCGACAGATATCTTTGTTGGTGAAGGAGAGTTTTGCTGTGCTGAACCTCAGTATAAGATTGGCCGTATCCCACTAGGTCCTAATGCTGCAGCTATAATCATCAAGTCTGTAGTAGACCCAGAAGCATGTGTTTGGAGGCCTACGTCAGATGTATTCTCCCTATCACAAGCTGTAGGAGTCAAAGTAGCATGGCCAGCTGATAAATTGATATTGGATGACGGATTTGACAACCAAGATGAATCTCATAATACTGATGGATCAAAGGTAAATATTATTAACTTTGATTGTATTTTAAGATGTACCATTACTTGTTTCATGACTAACCATACGCATGATAACTTTAGGATCCTAGAACAGATGACCAACATGATAGTTACAAAATTTTGGATTGGAATCGGGATGAAGTTATTGCTGAGGGTGTTGTGTGGTCGACTGATCAAAAAGAGCTGGTCAACAATATTCCTATTGGTCCAAATGCTGTTGTTATGCAAGTTTATCAGGTGATTAACCCTACTGCTTATCTGTGGAGACCAAGTTCTGAAATGTATGTGATGGGTGATGCACTTAATGAGAAGATCGCATGGCCAATCGATAGGATAGAGTTATTGAATATAAATGCACAAGAAGAAATACGAAGAAAGTCTTCACAGGTATGATAGCCTTATTCTTTTTTGATATATTTCTTTTGTTTGAGTTTTGATGTTGCTGTGATGATGTGTTATAGTAGAATTGTTTTATGTTTTTGCATATAGAGTACTGCAAGTAACAACACCGGTACTAGCAAAGATGCTAAGAAGAAGTGCATTTTGTTAGAGTGCAATAACTCTGGACGCAAAGTTGCAGAAGGCAGAGTATGTTCAACTAATACAACAGATGTTGTCCATCATGTCCCAATTGGTCCTAATGCCAGCAAAGTATGGGTAGAAGTTTCGAAGATTGGTAGTGCAAGTGTGTGGAGACCAAATTCAGAAATCCAATTCATATCTGATGCAATAGGCTCTATAGTGGCCTGGCCAAATGATAAACTTATTTTCGTCTGAGACTTTTTTAGGCTTTAACAAAACTGCGACTTTGTAACATTTAAAAAAAAAACATAAGTACTTACGGGTTTTGTGTAAATACTGGTACCGTACTTCAAGTGGGCGATTGTTTCTAGATTTTCATGTGTTTAATCTTTGGATAAAGTATTTATCCTTTGAATAGAAACCAACAAATATATGAAAGTTAAAAAAATCTACAAATCTAGAAAAAATTAACTACTAGAACGACAACCAACAATTAATTTTAAATGTATTCTCATACATTTATTTCTCAATTATACATAAATCAAATAATATTACATTGTTTTAGCTATATGATCAAATATAATAAAAGTTATAATATATACTTACACATAAGCAAATATAACCAAGTTTGTATTAAATATATATGTAAAGTTTTTTCAAGTTGTATAAAAAATTCCTATCTTAATTAGGGTTTAGGGTTTAGGGTTTAGGGTTTAGGGTTTAGTGTTTTAAATAGTAGCTAATATTAATGATATAAAGTAGTATACTATTATAACATAAATGAATTCTATCATTTTATTAATTATAACATCATTAATGTGTTTCAACAATATGATTTACACAATAAGAAGAATTAGTGTAGATGTATTCTAAGGCAATCATATGTGTTACCTTCAAATTTCTAAAAACGTTGCAAAATATTTTTTTAAATTGCGAAAAAATTATCTAATCATGTAAATAACTCATAAACATATTAATTCATCAATAAATAATTTTTTAAAATTATGTAAATAGTAAAAACACATTTTTATGCCTATAGAGAAAATAAGCCAATCATAATGTTTCACTCGGATTGCTGATGTGGCGAGATCTCAGCCATTCATCGGATCTAATTTACTCAGTCCAATCAATAAGTAATACTCGGATTGCTGATGTGGCGACATCTCATCCTTTCAATGGCTTTGGCGGCTGCATGTTTAAGGTAATCTCATCCGTTCATCGCCTAACTAAGTCTTTGGCGAGAACAAAATTAACATTTTCTCTTAAACCTCTCATCCGTTCTTCACCATTTTCTCTTGAGAACAAAATTCACAAGAAAATTAATTCAGATTAGGTCTTCTCTTCGCTGATTCAGAAAAAAATTCTCGCATCCTACTTCTTCAAACCTCAAATTCATTGTCATCTCCGACTCGAATCTGAGAGAACCAAAGAATAAGACGAAGGTACTTATAATAAGAAGAAGATGAAGCAGGATGAAGATTCCCTCAAGGTTCCGTCTAAGGATCCCAAGAAGAAGGACGACAAAAAGGAGGAGGACCTGGTTAGTGTGTTCTTTCTCGCTTTGATTTTGTCCTTCTTTTCGACATTGTTTCTTCGTTGCAACTGTTTGGTATCTGGGTTCATCAGAAGCGATTTTAATTTCAAATCTGTAGGATCTGCAGTCAGATTTTGAATTGAAATCGATCGAATTGAATTCGTATGTTATAGAATTAGGGTTTTTTTAATTGATCAATTCATTACCAGGTTGTGTTCTTCTGGGAAATGTTGTGGTCCAGTCCAGTAGATAATAATAGTTAAGTACTTAAGATTGTTGTCAGAGTGTCTTGAAAGCAAAATCTGTGAAGCTGATAAGCCAAGTTATCTCTTACTTTTCATATGTTTATTTCTCTGTTCTTAAGGTCCTTGAGTTTGTGATGTGATGATGACTGGTACTATTTTGATATTGGAACCAGCTATGGATTCCAAAGATGAGCTAGTGAAACAACATGCCAAAGTTGCAGAGAATGCTGTTGCTGGTAATTAGCCTCTCCCTTTTTCTTTTTTTTTTGATCCTGCTTCTGGAGTTTGTATTTTCTAGTGAAAACATCGTCTCTTGTGGTTTTTTCAAGGGTGGGAGAAAGCTGAGAATGAAGTGGTTGAGCTGAAGCAAAAGCTTGAGGATGCGGCTGATAAGAACATTGTGTTGGAAGATAGGGTAAGTCATCTTGATGGGGCACTCAAGGAGTGTGTTAGACAACTAAGGCAGTTTAGAGATGAACAAGAGAAGAAAATTCAAGAAGCTGTGACTGAGATGAACAAGATGAAGAGGCATTCTATGTAGAGGAGATGTATTGGTCTTGTATTTTTAATTTTAGTATTTTTATAAAAGTTTTTGTATATTATTTCATGTAATAATGATAATAAAATATTGTATTTTTTATTTTTGATATGTAATTTTAATCCAAAAATCACAGTAAAGATGATTTAAATACAATTAAAATAATTAACAAAAATATAAATATTATAAAAAATATAAATTATTGAAATAATTAATCAAATAAATATTGTAGAAAAATCAAATCATGAAAATAGGTACAACCCAATCATAACAATTATTACACGTTATTATAAATATTAATAATAGCAGTGTCATAACCGCTATCGTAGTTCAATTAACTATAGCACAACGAAAAACCGCTATCAAAAGTGTCCGACTTTCTATAATGGGCGATGTCAGAGCGCTTAAGGAAACGCTATGGTAGATGAATAATTAGGTTTTTCGGCCGCTATTAATACCCACATTTCCTGTAGTGGGGATCCGGTTGAGGTTCCAGTTCTAATACCCAATCATACACACGAGATCTAGTCATATTTGACTCCAAAAACACTAATCAAGCTTCTTATACCCTCTCAAAGCTTTATGGGTGTGGCCGAAGTCCTATGAGTTTTCGGTTTTGGAGCTTCTAAACGGAAAAACATTACTTTAGCTTACGGGATCCGGTTGAGGTTCTAGTTCTTATACCCAATCATACACCCGAGATCTAGTCATATTTGACTCCACAAACACTAACCAAGCTTCTTATACCCTCTCAAAGCTTTGTGGGTGAGGCCGAAGTCCTATGAGTTTTTGGTTTTGGAGCTTCTAAACGGAAAAACACTACTTTAGCTTACGGGATCCGGTTGAGGTTCTAGTTCTTATACCCAATCATACACACGAGATCTAGTCATATTTGACTCCAAAAACACTAAACAAGCTTCTTATTACCCTCTCAAAGCTTTGTGGGTGTGGCCGAAGTCCTATGAGTTTTCGGTTTTGGAGCTTCTAAACGGAAAAACACTACTTTAGCTTACGGGATCCGGTTGAGGTTCTAGTTCTTATACCCAATCATACACACGAGATCTAGTCATATTTGACTCCAAAAACACTAACCAAGCTTCTTATACCCTCTCAAAGCTTTGTGGGTGTGGCCGAAGTCCTATGAGTTTTCGGTTTTGGAGCTTCTAAACGGAAAAACACTACTTTAGCTTACGGGATCCGGTTGAGGTTCTAGTTCTTATACCCAATCATACACACGAGATCTAGTCATATTTGACTCCAAAAACACTAACCAAGCTTCTTATACCCTCTCAAAGCTTTGTGGGTGTGGCCGAAGTCCTATGAGTTTTCGGTTTTGGAGCTTCTAAACGGAAAAACACTACTTTAGCTTACGGGATCCGGTTGAGGTTCTAGTTCTTATACCCAATCATACACACGAGATCTAGTCATATTTGACTCCAAAAACACTAATCAAGCTTCTTATACCCTCTCAAAGCTTTGTGGGTGTGGCCGAAGTCCTATGAGTTTTCGGTTTTGGAGCTTCTAAACGGAAAAACACTACTTTAGCTTACGGGATCCGGTTGAGGTTCTAGTTCTTATACCCAATCATACACACGAGATCTAGTCATATTTGACTCCAAAAACACTAACCAAGCTTCTTATACCCTCTCAAAGCTTTGTGGGTGTGGCCGAAGTCCTATGAGTTTTCGGTTTTGGAGCTTCTAAACGGAAAAACACTACTTTAGCTTACGGGATCCGGTTGAGGTTCTAGTTCTTATACCCAATCATACACACGAGATCTAGTCATATTTGACTCCAAAAACACTAAACAAGCTTCTTATACCCTCTCAAAGCTTTGTGGGTGTGGCCGAAGTCCTATGAGTTTTCGGTTTTGGAGCTTTTAAACGGAAAAACACTACTTTAGCTTACGGGATCCGGTTGAGGTTCTAGTTCTTATACCCAATCATACACACGAGATCTAGTCATATTTGACTCCAAAAACACTAACCAAGCTTCTTATACCCTCTCAAAGCTTTGTGGGTGTGGCCGAAGTCCTATGAGTTTTCGGTTTTGGAGCTTCTAAACGGAAAAACACTACTTTAGCTTACGGGATCCGGTTGAGGTTCTAGTTCTTATACCCAATCATACACACGAGATCTAGTCATATTTGACTCCAAAAACACTAACCAAGCTTCTTATACCCTCTCAAAGCTTTGTGGGTGTGGCCGAAGTCCTATGAGTTTTCGGTTTTGGAGCTTCTAAACGGAAAAACACTACTTTAGCTTACGGGATCCGGTTGAGGTTCTAGTTCTTATACCCAATCATACACACGAGATCTAGTCATATTTGACTCCAAAAACACTAACCAAGCTTCTTATACCCTCTCAAAGCTTTGTGGGTGTGGCCGAAGTCCTATGAGTTTTCGGTTTTGGAGCTTCTAAACGGAAAAACACTACTTTAGCTTACGGGATCCGGTTGAGGTTCTAGTTCTTATACCCAATCATACACACGAGATCTAGTCATATTTGACTCCAAAAACACTAACCAAGCTTCTTATACCCTCTCAAAGCTTTGTGGGTGTGGCCGAAGTCCTATGAGTTTTCGGTTTTGGAGCTTCTAAACGGAAAAACACTACTTTAGCTTACGGGATCCGGTTGAGGTTCTAGTTCTTATACCCAATCATACACACGAGATCTAGTCATATTTGACTCCAAAAACACTAACCAAGCTTCTTATACCCTCTCAAAGCTTTGTGGGTGTGGCCGAAGTCCTATGAGTTTTCGGTTTTGGAGCTTCTAAACGGAAAAACACTACTTTAGCTTACGGGATCCGGTTGAGGTTCTAGTTCTTATACCCAATCATACACACGAGATCTAGTCATATTTGACTCCAAAAACACTAACCAAGCTTCTTATACCCTCTCAAAGCTTTGTGGGTGTGGCCGAAGTCCTATGAGTTTTCGGTTTTGGAGCTTCTAAACGGAAAAACACTACTTTAGCTTACGGGATCCGGTTGAGGTTCTAGTTCTTATACCCAATCATACACACGAGATCTAGTCATATTTGACTCCAAAAACACTAACCAAGCTTCTTATACCCTCTCAAAGCTTTGTGGGTGTGGCCGAAGTCCTATGAGTTTTCGGTTTTGAGCTTCTAAACGGAAAAACACTACTTTAGCTTACGGGATCCGGTTGAGGTTCTAGTTCTTATACCCAATCATACACACGAGATCTAGTCATATTTGACTCCAAAAACACTAACCAAGCTTCTTATACCCTCTCAAAGCTTTGTGGGTGTGGCCGAAGTCCTATGAGTTTTCGGTTTTGGAGCTTCTAAACGGAAAAACACTACTTTAGCTTACGGGATCCGGTTGAGGTTCTAGTTCTTATACCCAATCATACACACGAGATCTAGTCATATTTGACTCCAAAAACACTAACCAAGCTTCTTATACCCTCTCAAAGCTTTGTGGGTGTGGCCGAAGTCCTATGAGTTTTCGGTTTTGGAGCTTCTAAACGGAAAAACACTACTTTAGCTTACGGGATCCGGTTGAGGTTCTAGTTCTTATACCCAATCATACACACGAGATCTAGTCATATTTGACTCCAAAAACACTAACCAAGCTTCTTATACCCTCTCAAAGCTTTGTGGGTGTGGCCGAAGTCCTATGAGTTTTCGGTTTTGGAGCTTCTAAACGGAAAAACACTACTTTAGCTTACGGGATCCGGTTGAGGTTCTAGTTCTTATACCCAATCATACACACGAGATCTAGTCATATTTGACTCCAAAAACACTAACCAAGCTTCTTATACCCTCTCAAAGCTTTGTGGGTGTGGCCGAAGTCCTATGAGTTTTCGGTTTTGGAGCTTCTAAACGGAAAAACACTACTTTAGCTTACGGGATCCGGTTGAGGTTCTAGTTCTTATACCCAATCATACACACGAGATCTAGTCATATTTGACTCCAAAAACACTAACCAAGCTTCTTATACCCTCTCAAAGCTTTGTGGGTGTGGCCGAAGTCCTATGAGTTTTCGGTTTTGGAGCTTCTAAACGGAAAAACACTACTTTAGCTTACGGGATCCGGTTGAGGTTCTAGTTCTTATACCCAATCATACACACGAGATCTAGTCATATTTGACTCCAAAAACACTAACCAAGCTTCTTATACCCTCTCAAAGCTTTGTGGGTGTGGCCGAAGTCCTATGAGTTTTCGGTTTTGGAGCTTCTAAACGGAAAAACACTACTTTAGCTTACGGGATCCGGTTGAGGTTCTAGTTCTTATACCCAATCATACACACGAGATCTAGTCATATTTGACTCCAAAAACACTAACCAAGCTTCTTATACCCTCTCAAAGCTTTGTGGGTGTGGCCGAAGTCCTATGAGTTTTCGGTTTTGGAGCTTCTAAACGGAAAAAACACTACTTTAGCTTACGGGATCCGGTTGAGGTTCTAGTTCTTATACCCAATCATACACACGAGATCTAGTCATATTTGACTCCAAAAACACTAACAAGCTTCTTATACCCTATCAAAGCTTTGTGGGTGTGGCCGAAGTCCTATGAGTTTTCGGTTTTGGAGCTTCTAAACGGAAAAACACTACTTGAGCTTACGGGATCCGGTTGAGGTTCCTAGTTCTAATACCCAATCATACACACGAGATCTAGTCATATTTGACTCCAAAAACACTAATCAAGCTTCTTATACCCTCTCAAAGCTTTGTGGGTGTGGCCGAAGTCCTATGAGTTTTCGGTTTTGGAGCTTCTAAACGGAAAAACACTACTTTAGCTTACGGGATCCGGTTGAGGTTCTAGTTCTTATACCCAATCATACACACGAGATCTAGTCATATTTGACTCCAAAAACACTAACCAAGCTTCTTATACCCTCTCAAAGCTTTGTGGGTGTGGCCGAAGTCCTATGAGTTTTCGGTTTTGGAGCTTCTAAACGGAAAAACACTACTTTAGCTTACGGGATCCGGTTGAGGTTCTAGTTCTTATACCCAATCATACACACGAGATCTAGTCATATTTGACTCCAAAAACACTAAACAAGCTTCTTATTGCCTATCAAAGCTTTGTGGGTGTGGCCGAAGTCCTATGAGTTTTCGGTTTTAGAGCTT